GCTTCATCCTGGACCCTGTCGTTCTCTCTCCCAAGGCCACCGTTGGAGAGGCTAAGGAGCTCAAGGCCAAGTGGGGCTTCGGAGGCTTCCCCGTAACTGGTAAGCACACAATTTTCCTTTCTTTCAGCTGTCACCCCTACATGATGATTTTCCATCTTATCTCTTATAACTTTCGTTCCACTGGAGCAACGAGAGTTGCGATGTAGAGAAACGATTCTATCTGAAATCGACAACGCATAATGATTTTCCTTGATCACAATCAATGTTTGCAAGCCATTGTCTAATCTATGTTCTGTGACAGAAAACGGAACTCTCCGCTCCAAGCTCGTCGGTATGGTCACATCCAGAGACATCCAGTTCCACACCAACCTCAATGACCCGGTCACTGCAATTATGTCCACCGACCTTGTCACCGCACCTGCCGGTACCACTCTTGCCGAGGCCAACAACGTTCTTCGTAGCTCCAAGAAGGGAAAGCTTCCCATCGTTGATGCAAACGGGAACCTTGTCTCTCTGCTGTCTCGCAGTGACCTGATGAAGAACCTCCACTACCCATTGGCATCTAAGCTGCCCGACTCGAAGCAGCTGATCTGTGCTGCTGCTATTGGTACTCGTGAAGAGGATAAGCACAGACTCAAGCTTCTCGTCGAGGCTGGTCTTGATATTGTCATCCTCGACAGCAGCCAGGGTAACAGCATCTACCAGATCGAGATGATCAAGTGGGTGAAGAAGACATTCCCCGAAATTGACGTTATTGCCGGTAACGTCGTCACTCGGGAACAAGCCGCAGCTCTGATTGCTGCCGGTGCCGATGGCCTGAGAATTGGCATGGGCAGCGGCAGTGCCTGTATTACCCAGGAAGTCATGGCTGTCGGTCGTCCGCAGGCCGTTGCCGTTCGCAGCGTTGCTGCCTTTGCTGCCCGCTTCGGTGTTCCTTGCATCGCCGACGGTGGTATCCAGAACGTCGGCCACATCGTCAAGGGTCTTGCCATGGGTGCCTCTACCGTCATGATGGGAGGTCTCCTTGCCGGTACCACTGAGTCTCCCGGTGAATACTTCGTGAGCAACGAAGGCCAGCTTGTCAAGGCCTACCGTGGCATGGGAAGTATCGCTGCCATGGAGGACAAGAAAGCCGGGGCTGGTAGCAAGGATAGCAAGGCCAGCAACGCTGGTACTGCCCGTTACTTCTCTGAGAAGGACCGTGTGCTTGTCGCTCAGGGTGTCGCCGGTTCCGTGCTCGACCGTGGTTCGGTCACCAAGTTTGTTCCTTACCTTGTTGCGGGTGTCCAGCACTCTCTGCAAGACATTGGTGTCAAGAGCCTTGACGAGCTCCACGACGGTGTCAACAAGGGCATTGTTCGTTTCGAGATGAGAAGCGCTAGTGCCATGGCGGAGGGTAACGTCCACGGTCTGCACAGCTACGACAAGAAGCTCTACTCGTAAAGGGCTTTGTCGGATGTAAAAAAACGTAACTTCTTCTTATGTCTCTTCTCTCTCAGGACTTGTCAGTCAGGCTATGTTCACATGATGATACGCGCTTGGTATGAAAGTAAAAATTGGGCATGATGGTTTTGGAGTTTGACATGGAATGCACTTCGGATGATTTTCTTCAATGTTGCTGTTCGAAGTAATTATGCTTGCCGTCAGGCAATTCATGATTTCAAAAAAAACAAAAAATTCCTAAAATATATCCTAAACTACTTATCATTCTTGTAAGCCTTCGACTCTCATCACTCGTGACTTCGGCACGCACCTGGAGGAGAATCGCGCGGGGTAATTAGTAGGAGAAGCCTAGGTTCCATCTGCCATTGCCAAGGTTAAGCTACTGATCCCCAGAAACAACCCAGGCACCGTAACCCTCCCAAGTGGTACCGATCGTTCCTGAATACTACACATAAGAAGCAGGGACATAACGCGCCTCCAGTGGCGCCCGTCTTTCATGGCCACCAAGACACTCCTTCCTGGTCCCTTTAGCTTAACTTCCCGGTTCATCTGCAGATCTGGCCAATTGTTTGATCGTCGGCTAAGCTTGGTCCGAGGTCCACGCTCTAGGTGTATACAAGTACTACCAGTGCTTTGCATCTGTCAACGTGCAAGATCCAACGTTAGAAACTTCTCTTCTACGGTGCGATCATCGCAGCCCACTGGATCGCACAAAATGGCAGCTAAAAAGGGTGAGCGATCCAAGGTGCCACCGGCGACACCCAGGCCGAGCTCAAGGTTAGTACATAATACGCCCCTTGTTTATCTTGATACCATTCGTGATGTGGATTTGAACCCGGTGACTATTATGTCATGCTGAGTGTCGAAACCGATCAAATCTTTCGTAACTTGCAATTATACAGCTAACATGCAACAGCGTCATCCTCATCTCCCCTAAAAATGAAGTCCTGTTACTGCATCGCGTCAAGACATCAACTTCATTTGCCTCGGCGCATGTATTTCCGGGAGGAAATCTGTCTGCTGAGGACGGAGAATGTCCCGCTGCGGAGGATCCAAAGAGGCACGAAGATGCGCCGTGGTACCGCAATGCTGCCGTGAGGGAATTGTTCGAGGAGAGCGGTATCCTGCTGGCGCGAGACAAGAATACAGGCGTCATGCTAGCTGTACCTGAGGCAGAGAGAGAAAAAGGGAGACGAGCCATCCATCAGCATGAGGTGACGTTTGCCGAGTGGTTGAAGAAGCAGAATGCTGCAGCAGTACCGGATATAGGTGCGCTGTCCTTAAGTTGTTCGATAAGGGCCGACATGTTCAGCTGATGGAGCTACAGAGCCTTTGATCCCGTTCACGCGATGGATTACCCCTACGAACGTCCCCAAGCGGTACTCGACACAGATGTACCTCTACTTCCTACCTCTTCCAGTCGAGTCAGATCAGTCCGTGCTGAACGAGATTCCCGCCGAAGGGGAACGGGAAGAAATTCAAGTTCCCACGAGCGATGGCGGAGTCGAAATAACGGAGGCCATGTTCCTGCCTGCAGCAGAATGGCTGCGGAGGGCTCAAAGTGGCGAAATCATCATGTTCCCTCCGCAGTTCCTTCTGTTACATCTAGTGTCGCAATTCCTTGACAAGGAACCGCGAGGGACGGCTTCGCTCGAGGAATTGAGGAACCGACGGGCAGAATTGGTGGGGTTTGTCCATTCGGGAACACCGCCATGGACGGAGAAATGTATTTCTCCTAAGATGCTCAAAATGTCCTCGGATGGACGGACTGTGTTAGCATTAGATCATCCCGGACCGGAGTTAGAGGGCACAAATCGGGCTGGGGAGCCGGATCGGGTGGTGTATGTACAGTTCAAGCAGGGGGCTGCGCGAAAACTCGATGTTCGATGGAAGAAGGATGTATTTGCAGAGCAGGAGAAGAGCAGTCTGTAATGGCGCAGGAGTGGGCAGGACATAGCATACAAAGAAAGAGCAGCGTGAGAAGCTCCAGTCATTTGACGCTATCCCATATTTGTCTTTAGTTGGTATTGTTCCTGATAAAATACCGCTTGGCGCAGACGCCACATGCTACACGCCACAGCATAGGCACCGCCACACGAGAAAATCGGAGCCCTCGATAAAGGATCACATGACCCACACAACCCGCTCGATTCACAGTAGATTTTCACGACAGTCCGCCAGTTGAACCCGCCAGCGCACCTACGTCTTCTTCACCGTCGTCAATAATAACTCCTACCCAACCGCCAAAATGGAGAACGAGAAGGGAGAGATCGTCGATCTGTACGTGAATACTAATTTCCTTCGCTGCTTGCGCTTGAACTGGTTTTACGGTGGTCCGGGAGCCGAGAATGACTTTGCGACTTGGGACAATGCACAAGAGGACAAGAGACAAGCTGGGGCGAGCTTTAAGCCTTCATCAAGCGAGTGTTGCAGGATAGTCCTTTTCCGCAGAGTTTCTTCTCGGCTCCCGGAAACCAGCAGAAGCAGGAGAGAATCGTGAACCAAAAGCATTGAATATTGCAAAACGCACACAACTAACCTTTCTCTTCCTTTCTTACAGCTACGTCCCCCGCAAGTGCAGCGCCACCAACCGCATCATCAAGGCCAACGACCACGCCTCCGTCCAGATCTCCATCGGCAAGGTTGACGAGAACGGTCGCTACACCGGCGAGAACCAGAGCTACGCCCTCTGCGGTTTCATCCGTGCCCGTGGTGAGAGCGATGACTCCCTGAACCGCCTCTGCCAGCGTGATGGCTACGTCCGCAACGTCTGGACCGCCAGCCGCCAGCGGTAAACGCGAGATGACTTTTCTGGTGTTTGCGGTGCGAGACGGGTTGCTTGGATGTAAGTTCTACATCTGTCGAATCATGGTCAGCCAACCCGCATGCTGATTTGGATGTCGGTGCGGATAGGAAAAGACGGGCCGTTAGATGAGTTACGTCTGGGAGTTGATAATGTCTGAAAATCATTTTCTTTTACCATGAGTCGATGAAGACTTAAAGAAATTCCATCCAAATCAACCCCGTCAATCCATTCCATGCATAGGATTCTCATAGCTTCTCTTCCTCGTTCTGGCCGATGGCAACCATCTTCAGGATGAGCGCTTTTCTTGCTGTAGTTTCTTTGTCCTGTTTCCATCGCATCCGGCACATCAAGGCTTCCTCGTCCACGGAATCGGATTGCGTATCGGACAGATATGCATCTGGTTCCATCCCATGAGCGAGGAGGTAGAAAGTAATCATCCAGCCGAATATCAGGATCCGCCTACTGAAGAGCCACTGTTGCAAAGAACATGCGCTGGGGCACAGATACGGGTGGGACATACCATGTTTCGAGCTTCTTATATATGTAGCCCCTACATTCTAGATTCGATAAGTGGAACGGTTTAAATTTAACATTGTAGAATTCTATCCTTTATGGTCATGCATTATCTCGTAGCCCGATGAAGAAAAAAATGTAACGTTTTCTGTCTGTTTCGATAACTCTAAAAGGAATGCAGGATATCGAGTTGAATGCTATTTTCTTTCCCCGTAATATCTCTCTACACATTCTCCACTTAGTCCTTCTCCAGTCGCACGGCAGGGTTGGTCTCGATGAAGTTAAGGTCGACTTTGTGACCGAGAAGCTCTCGAATATTGCTCACTCCGTATCTGCGAAAACACGTCAGTTCATGGACTCAAATGAGGAAAGTACGGCAGAACTCACTTGATCATGGTTGGTCTCTCGAGACTCAATCCCCATCCGTAGACTCTCATGTCCTTGGGAATGCCCATGGGCTCCAGCATCTCTGGTCTGAACATACCACTGTTTCCAATCTCGACCCACTTGCCCAGTCCTTCGTGGTAACCGAAGATCTCCATACTGGGCTCGGTGTAAGGGTTGTAGGCGGGCTTGAAGCGCAGTTGGTGGATACCCATCTTCGCGAAGAAGACCTCCATGAATCCAATCAGACCACCCAGGGTGAGACCGAAGTCAGCAATGACACCCTCAATCTGGTGGAACTCGGCCAAGTGGGTAGCGTCGACGGCCTCGTTACGGAAGACTCGATCGATACTGAAGTACCTTGCCGGCCGCGGGTTCGTGGCCAGTTTGTGCAGGACGTAGGTCGACACCGAGGTGGTGTGGGTACGGAGAACCAACCGAAGGGCTTCGTCTGCGTTCCAGGGGTAACGGTATCCGATCGAGCCGTACTTTCCGTTCTCGTGGACCTGGCGCACATTCTCCCAGTACTCTTTGTAGTCGAGGGGCTTCTCCGAGGTCGCTGCGGAGGCGGGCTGAACGGATTTCGGACGGTGGGGGTCGTTCAAGGGATCCTCACGCGGAGGGTCGGCAGTGGCAGGGTCTGCAATGTAGAATGTATCCTGAAGATCACGGGCGGGGTGTTGCTGAGGGACGTAGAGGGCGTCGAAGTTCCAGAATCCCGTCTCCACGAAGCGGTTGGTGGGCATCTCCTCGAAACCCATCTCAAAGAAAATATTCCGGAACTCCTGTCGCACCTTGTTGAGGGGATGGAAGGCACCGGCCGGCGTAGGAGCACCCTTGGCCTTGAAGTTGTACGGCTTCAGCGTAACCGTCTTCCATGACCCGTTTGCGATCATCTCGGGCGTCAGGTCGGTCTCCTCCTTGACAAACTCCTTGGCGAACTTGGGGCCCTTTGAAACCCGGAAGGTAAAGACCTTCTGCAGAGCGATCAACTTCCGACGCCTGAGGTCCGCGATGGCCTTCTGGTCGTTCAAGGTCTGCGTGTTCTTGACGGTCAACAGCTGCTCTCGGGTCTCGTCGACGATGGACTCGGTGTTCGCCCGCAACACATCCTTGTCCTTCTTGATCCAGCCTTTCTTGAATGCATTACCCTGGCCGACCTTGGCGTTCTCTTTTCCGACAATGCCAGGCAAGTCACCGATCTTCAATCCGTCCATGGCCGCCAATACCGCCTGGAAGACCTTGGCTTCGTGACTGCCATTGGCGGCGATTTCCTCACCCTCCTGGGTCAGAGCAATGGCTTCCCTTTCCATTCTTTCATATTCGATCATATTTCGCGAAGCTAGACGGTCGAGCGCACTCTTAAGGTCTAGTGAGGGGGTAGAGGGGAAGGCTTTGTCAGAGAGAATTGGGCCGTCGGACGCGGACAGGGCGTCCAGAATGGAGTTTGTCAAATCGGACGCCATGGCTGCAGCCGTATGAAGAGGATAACAGAGGTCGAGAGAAAGGACTGCGTGGCGGGGACCGTAACGAGGACTCTGGGATATCGACCACTGTGCCTCTACCTACAACTAAATTGTGACTCTTTTCGGGCCTCTTACGGGAGACAGTTCAAACCATAAATGCATTCACGTGACTCTATCCAGGTACCCCGCCATCATCATAATTAGTCATCATTAGCATAAGCCTTTACTTAGTTTTGTGCATCAACATCAATCATTCAGCGTCTGAGTTCTGTTATGATGCCGTAGATGGCCATGGATCCATGATATCATCTTCGTGTACACTAATTTGTGCCTAGCGTCCTTGTGTCGCTACTGTCTAGCCCATGAGACAAGAATCGACCCTGGGTTCATGATCCCGCTAGACATTCCACAGAATGCTTGAAAACCGACATCCCTACAAGCCGGGGCACAGGCTGGTCTAGCCCCAGTCTCAGCTAGTTGACAGCTTCGTCCTCATGATCTTGCTGGATGATGAGTATGCTCTCAGCCATGCAGCAAATTTCCAAGGCACAGTCATTCCCGGTGACTGGTATGAAGGCGATTCGAAGGGTTTGGCCGCGACTTGACTGCTCTTTTTCTTTCTATGGACTGGCTTGGAATTCTGGCAATTCGTACTTTTTCGACTGGACAAACGTATTTTGAAATGATTCAATGCTTTTACGGTGCTTGGAACTCGATACAGGGAACAATCTATTGAAAACGGCGGACTTGTGCCTTGGCAGGAATCGAGGGACCAGAAACAGGAATTGGGGCATAGCACAAGACGGATCAGTCATCACTGCAAAGAGATCAGGCGAGCAAGTAAGACAAAAACAACGCAGGACTTCATGCTGCTCACTTCCGATTGGGACAATCTAAATTAATGCAGAGTTCCAACATTTAACTTCCAACATGCGAGCAGGATCGAAAGGAGGACAGCAGTATATGTGAATAATGGTGTTGTATCTTCCAGCCACTATTTTGTAGCTGACAACTGGCAATGACAAATATTGCATGCTTCTAACTCCGTAGGCATTCCTAGATGACAAGCATTTGGAACTTGTATTGACACCTTACGTAGTCCACGTGCGCCTGGCAACTCGCAATTACAATTTTGGTATTTGATGCAGAGTTTTGGTTTTTGATTCAGACAAAAGTACCTACCTACCTCATCTGACTACCTGGGTACTTAGTTGCCTTGGTATTTTTGCCTCGTGTAGGCCCAGTCAGGAATAGTGCCATGGGATCGCTTCGAGTACACAGGCAAATTATACAATGCTGATTGGCTCGGATGTTTTAACGATGGACTACCTTAGTAGGCCCTGGTACTTCGTATTGAGTACGATATTCTGAGAATTTCATGGACATTGTAAGCGCATCTCAACTGCATATAGATGAAGATACGCAAGTACAGATCTTATGGTGGGGTTACCTCCTGTTTCTGAACAATAGCTACGAGTTCGAAAGAGTAGTTTGATTGAATAAGACAGAGCTGGTACACCTCGACATGTCGATATGTATACGCAGTAGTGCAGTGGTCGCATTTGTTGGTAATTTTCGGTCTAGCGAGCTTTGGGCTGGTTTGGTTATCAGTGCATCTCCATATGGCAAGAACCATAGAGGAACAAAGGAGCGCTACTACAGTGGTACTTAGAGTAGGCTCTCTAGTCTGTAGGTGGTTTAGTGTTAGAGTTAGCGTTCGGTAAAATTGGCCCTATCATGAAAGTAGAACGAACACTGAGATGAGCTGTCGAACGGTTTTCTCCAAGTGGATTCATTTTGCCACGCTTATGTTTGAGGACTGGAAGAACGTGAAGGGCGGAGTAGAGTGGGTATCAGTTTTGAATATTCCCGTTGTACGGAGTATGAAAAGTCTTCTCGATGTATTTTACTAATTAATCTAGTAATTGAAGCTTAAAATTCAAATAGCAAATAAAGAGGTTCCCTAGCTACCTCCATAGGGGCTTTGTCCTCATATGGAGAGTCGTCTGAGCATTGTCTATTGGATTATTCGTATGGAGTAAAATCAGCCATTTCTCCTCACCGTCCCGATGACAAAGTAAGGTGTGGTAACTAGCCCAAAAAACGGACTGAACTTAGCCAAAAAACCAACTGGGGACACACATGGGGTTTTGGGGGCGTGATCGTCGCGGTTCTTCTTACTAGTAGGTAACTATCTACACGATGTGGCCGTGGCTGTGGCTGAAAGTAAAGATCAGCACAATGTAAATCATCCTTCAAATCCACCACAATTTCCGTACTTGAGATTGGTAGTGGGTTTTTAACAAGAGTAAAATATGGCAGAGCGGCACACACATATACGGTACTAAAGAATGAAGGCTTGAACCCCGTTAAGACCCCGAGGAGTGATTGTGGCGCGGGCCAATGAAGATTTTTAATGGTAGTAAATAACGGTAGATAGGTATTGACTGCCTGGGTTTGCTGGTATAATCCTCGGTATTATTCATGGGAACGGTGCTGGCATAAGTAACTGAGGTACTCCGCAGTCTGTACTTTTCTTAATATCAACAGGGCAATTTCTACTACCGGACGTCTGGCAAAATTTCCTCATATAAAGATTTTAATTGTTGCTGAGGAATGACACTCGCCTGTCCCTTTTCACCGGGGCACTTGATGATTTCTCAGTACTATCAAGCCTGATGAAGCTCCTGTTTCATTGGAGATTTCCAAGATCTCTCTAGCTAAGGCGCTAAATCCAATTAGATACTACTCCCATTCCCACCCCCCAAGAAAAGGCGCCAACGAGGCCAAACCCAAGCAAGATCCAATCATATTATTTGCTGCCATACTGATAGACCCCTCAGTTGATCAGTTCCTCTTCCTCCTCTTCCTGTTCGCCTGTTCCTTGCCAGGCTCCCATCTGCTCTCTATCAAGTAGGTACGGAGTATTGTACTCTTTTCACGCGCACTGATGGTTTTTGACGAGGCTGAGGCTCCTCCTCATTGTCATTATTCTTCATACTGAATATTGTTGTCATTTTTGATATGTCTTTTTTCTTTTTTTCCTTCCCGCTCTCTCCCCTCTTCAACCTCCATCTCTCAACTAAATCGCCTCCCCCTTTCGTCGCTGTATTTTTCCCCCACTACTCTGTACTGGCTTTGTTTTCCACTTACCAACCTAACTCTTTTTTTCTTGCTCCGCGTCACAAACCCCTGTATTTTTCCCTCTGCGTGTCTGTCTGCGTGATCTCCGAATCCCATCACCCTCCCTTTCCCCTGTCCTGCCCTGTTCTGTCCACAAATAATCCCAAGGAATCAATCCCGCAGAGAACTTGGACCGTTCTATCTCTCAAGCGGGCGAACTCATCTCGTCTTATCTCCAGCTCATCGATTTCTAAATTCACAAGACGAACATCTCCATGTCGTCCTAGAAATTGGCTTGTTTCTTCGTGTCAGTAACACGGCTTTCCGTCTGGTAGGTTCACCGTTTGCTGAGCTTTGATGTGTCCAAGTTGTCGGATCGACCTTTGCTGGCCTTTTTCCTATTATGATTGTCGCTTATGATTGCCGTTTCATCTCTTCCCTTGTCTCAACCGTCACATCTTCCCTTCGAGGAGGCGACGGCGCTTCAAGATCCGCTTTTCTCCTTACCCTTATTCGCTTCTCTTTCTCTTGCCTCAACTCCGCTGTGTAGCAAGCCCGCCTAGCTCAGCTTGCTATCTGAGTTTGACATCTTACTCGAGCCTTTTTCCTTTTCATTCATCTTTTGGACTCTTCTTCTCCTTCCCTGCTTCCATGCCCTCGCGACGTTAACTCTCGTCTCTTGACGCCTTAGTCCTTTTTATCTCCCTTTTTCCACACTTTTTCCTCTTTCGAAAATTGGCCTTCTTAACTTGGTCCCTCGACTTGACTTTCAGACCATTCACAATACGATATTCTGCAAATTTGGCTATCCTTATGTCCCAAATTGACTGAGTTACAACAGGCACAATGGCTGGCGCAGACGAGACGCTCGCAGCCGCCTCTGCCATCCTTCAAACCCTGGCCAGAGGCCCTGATGCTTCGATTTCCGAGCCGAGTTCTTCCCACAAAACCAATGGCTGTGATACAAAGTTCGCCAAATTACCAGGAGAGCCTAGCCAAGCGAAGGCGGCATTTGAATTTGAGTTGGAGGCTTTGATTCGACGTGTTCGCCATCTAGAGTTTCAAGTTGTCAGTCATCAACCATACCCCCGACCTGTCCCCGAGTTACCTTTGTCTTCCACCAAAAATTCTGATTTTCTCTGGCTTTTCGGGCTCTCTCGCCTGTCCTCTCATGAAGGAGCTGCTTCTAACTCTTCTTGCGGCATGCAGCAGGAAACTTCACGACGTCGCCAGAGAACAAGGAGAAACCGCCGTGAAGCGGAAGACAATGAGGCCGATGAGGCACTCGATGACGACGACAGTGATGATGATGTAGACTCGAGAACTCGACTCGTTCGCGAGGAAGACATCAGTTATCTGCGGAATCATGTACAGAAACAGGCGGAGGAAATAAGCTTCCAAAAAGACATCATCGCTCAAGTTCGCGACGAGCTACTGCAGCAGGAGGAGCACACGCGACGGGCATTGACCAAGGTTGAGAATGAAGATGTGGTCCTGTTGGAACGCGAGCTACGCAAGCACCAGCAAGCCAACGAGGCTTTCCAGAAAGCCCTTCGGGAAATTGGTGGCATCATCACGCAGGTCGCGAATGGTGACTTGTCCATGAAGGTGCAGATTCACCCCCTCGAGATGGACCCTGAGATCGCCACTTTTAAGCGCACGATCAACACGATGATGGATCAGCTGCAGGTTTTTGGTAGTGAGGTGTCCAGGGTCGCTCGAGAGGTCGGGACGGAAGGTATCCTTGGTGGACAGGCTCAGATCACTGGGGTTCACGGAATTTGGAAGGAGCTTACAGAGAACGTCAACATCATGGCCAAGAATCTCACTGATCAAGTGCGTGAAATTGCGGCGGTGACGACCGCCGTCGCCCATGGCGATCTCAGTCAGAAGATCGAAAGTCGTGCACAGGGTGAAATCCTGGAACTGCAACAGACCATCAACACCATGGTCGATCAACTGCGCACGTTCGCAACGGAGGTCACTCGTGTCGCTCGTGATGTCGGTACGGAAGGTGTCCTGGGTGGACAGGCCCAGATCGAAGGCGTCCAAGGCATGTGGAATGAGCTGACTGTCAACGTCAACGCCATGGCAAATAATTTGACTACACAAGTGCGAGACATTGCGACGGTCACCAAGGCTGTGGCCAAGGGTGATCTGACACAGAAGGTTCAAGCCAACTGCAAAGGAGAAATTGCTGAGCTCAAGAACATTATCAACTCCATGGTGGACCAGCTGCGGCAGTTCGCCCAAGAGGTCACCAAGATTGCCAAGGAAGTCGGTACGGATGGTGTTCTCGGTGGCCAGGCCACCGTAAATGATGTGGAAGGCACTTGGAAAGACTTGACCGAGAATGTCAACCGAATGGCAAACAACCTGACCACCCAAGTCAGGGAGATAGCCGATGTCACGACTGCCGTCGCGAAAGGTGATCTAACCAAGAAGGTCACGGCCAACGTTCAAGGTGAAATTTTAGATCTTAAGAGCACCATCAATGGCATGGTCGACCGACTGAATACTTTTGCCTTCGAAGTGAGCAAAGTTGCCAGGGAAGTCGGCACAGATGGTACCCTCGGCGGCCAAGCCAAGGTCGACAATGTGGAAGGCAAATGGAAGGATCTCACAGACAACGTCAACACCATGGCCCAGAATTTGACGTCGCAGGTCCGAAGTATTTCAGACGTCACGCAGGCTATCGCGAAAGGTGACCTCAGCAAGAAGATCGAAGTCCATGCTCAAGGAGAGATCTTGACCCTCAAAGTTACGATCAATCACATGGTGGATCGTCTTGCGAAATTTGCAACTGAACTCAAAAAAGTCGCTCGCGATGTCGGCGTGGACGGGAAAATGGGCGGTCAAGCCAACGTGGAGGGGATCGCGGGAACATGGAAGGAGATCACCGAGGATGTCAATACAATGGCTGAGAACCTAACTTCGCAGGTGCGTGCGTTTGGTGAGATCACCGATGCTGCAACCGACGGCGATTTCACTAAGCTCATCACTGTCAACGCTTCCGGGGAGATGGATGAACTCAAGCGCAAGATCAACAAGATGGTCTCCAATCTCCGAGACAGTATTCAGCGTAACACTGCTGCCAGGGAGGCAGCTGAGCTGGCGAATCGTACAAAGTCCGAATTCCTGGCAAACATGAGTCATGAGATCCGGACTCCCATGAACGGCATCATTGGCATGACACAGCTCACTCTAGACACTGACGACCTGAAGCCTTACACGCGCGAGATGTTGAATGTAGTGCATAACTTGGCGAACAGCTTGCTAACAATCATCGACGACATACTCGACATTTCCAAGATTGAAGCAAATCGGATGGTCATTGAAAGCATTCCCTTCACAGTGAGGGGAACTGTGTTCAACGCTCTCAAGACGCTGGCCGTTAAGGCTAACGAAAAGTTCCTCAGTCTGACATATCAAGTTGACAATACTGTACCGGACTATGTCATTGGCGACCCTTTCCGTCTGCGTCAGATCATTTTGAACTTGGTCGGCAACGCCATCAAGTTCACTGAGCATGGCGAGGTCAAGCTTACGATTCGCAAATCAGACCGAGAGCAATGTGCCCCCAACGAATATGCCTTTGAGTTTTCGGTCTCCGACACCGGCATTGGTATTGAAGAGGATAAGCTGGATCTCATCTTTGACACCTTCCAGCAGGCAGATGGATCCACCACACGCAGATTCGGCGGTACAGGTCTCGGCCTCTCTATTTCCAAGCGTCTCGTCAACCTGATGGGCGGTGATGTCTGGGTTACATCCGAGTACGGTCATGGCAGCACGTTCCATTTTACCTGCGTCGTGAAGCTCGCCGATCAGTCCCTGAACGTCATCGCATCACAGCTCATGCCGTATAAGCATCACCGGGTTCTCTTCATTGACAAGGGCCAGAACGGTCTTCAGGCGGAGAACATCATTAAGATGCTGAAGCAGCTCGAGCTGGAGCCTATAGTAGTGAGGGACGAAGATCATGTTCCACCACCAGAGATTCAGGATCCGTCAGGCAAAGAGTCGGGTCACGCTTATGATGTTATAATCGTGGATTCAGTGGACACGGCTCGCTTATTACGGACCTATGATGACTTCAAATACGTCCCCATTGTCTTAGTCTGTCCCCTTGTTTGCGTGAGCTTGAAGTCAGCGCTGGATCTTGGTATCAGTTCCTACATGACCACACCGTGTCAACCAATAGACCTCGGGAATGGTATGCTCCCAGCTCTGGAAGGACGATCTACGCCAATCACCACCGATCATTCCCGCTCATTTGATATTCTGCTTGCGGAGGACAATGACGTGAACCAGAAATTAGCGGTCAAGATATTAGAGAAGCACAACCATAACGTCTCAGTCGTGGGCAACGGATTGGAAGCGGTGGAAGCCGTCAAGCAGCGTCGCTACGATGTTATCTTGATGGATGTACAGATGCCTGTCATGGGCGGCTTCGAAGCCACTGGTAAGATTCGTGAATATGAGAGAGAGGCCGGGCTTTCTCGCACACCTATCATTGCACTCACTGCGCATGCCATGCTGGGCGATCGCGAGAAGTGTATACAGGCTCAGATGGATGAATACTTGTCAAAACCTCTGAAACAGAACCAAATGATGCAGACAATCCTCAAGTGTGCAACCCTGGGCGGTTCCCTACTAGAGAAGAGCAAGGAGTCCCGACTTTCCAGCAGTGGCGAAATTCACCACCACTCTGAAGGCAAGCGTCCTGGTATGGAGACAAGGTCCATCACAGCTTCAGGGTCCATCGATCGTGGCTTCTCGAGCCCCACGGCTGCAAAAGATGATGAGCTCGCCATGGAACGTGTCAGTGATTATCGCTTTCGAAAGGCTGTATGAGAAGACAATCGCTTATTGGACGTTTAGGCCCTGCTACGATCGAACAGCTCGTGAGACGTTTTGAAGAGACGCTTTCCCATTTCTTCTTTCTTGCTGTCAACAGCCTTGATGCGAACATATACCCATATCGTTTGCCCGCTTGAAGGATTTGTTCTTTGCCTCGGCAATTTGGTCTTTCCCTTCTTTTCCGAGAATAGGTCTTTTGATACAATCGGTCTCTGTGATCGAGCCATCTGCGATCCTTCGCCTTCAAATGCTTCTTTCTGCTCATTGACCTATCCTATTCGGAATCCATCTGCTTTGCATAGGCTCCTCGCTGGCGTTGTGTCGACGCCTATGCAATGACCTTTACTTCCTCTCCCTTTCACATTGCCCATATCACAACCTGATTCTATTTCGGTCTTTATCTGTTGAAGCTTTATGTAAGGTGTCCGGCGCATGGAATCCATTGGCGAGGTTTTATTTCGCATTTACTTGCGGCTTAAGATGAGAACAATGTGGGCCAGCTGATATGACGATGGAGATAAGAGAGTAACATTCTCCGCGAGAATCCTACTTTTCGCTGCATATTTCCGACTATCCAAACGTGATTCTTGTTCTTCTCAATCCTCTCGGAACCTACCACCTATGTTCTATGCATATCTGCGTCGAAGCCTTGTTCCTTCTTCGTTCCTATTCTACTTGTATTGTATCTAATTTCTGAATTCGGGCAGGTGAGGTCCCTATGTTGGAGTCTACTGGCTTCGACTTGATCTGCGTCTGTGTCTTCTTCTTTCCTATTCCCCTACTACGAGAATTGTTTTGGCACGTACGAATTGCGGACAGTTTGATAACACTGTCGTTACCGAGGGAGAAATGCAGAAATATCACATTCCGAGGATAGCCCCCTTCTTTTTGTTCCACACAGCGCGTGCATTTGTGATGCTTAAACCGGATAGCCGCTTGCTAGAGACCGCTTTTTCAGTATTATCTGTTTAGATCTGACCTTAACATTTGATCGTTCCGAATAGATTAGCATAACCGAAAGCCTATATGATCTGACTAGGACAAAGCGGACTGGATCGACGTGCACTAAGAAAGGAACAAACAGTCCCCCTTATGACTTGGGACTCGTTTTCCTTTCAAACTACGGTATGGTGATGAGATCGTAATTTAAGATGGACATTTTCAAGTCCGACGGCGGAACACGATAGGATTTGCCTTGAGCTTATCGGGCCGGGCGATGTCTGTCTTTTCTGCCACTGTCCGCTTCTTTGGATCAATAGCGGGAGTGGGCTGCGGTGTCCTTGCTCCGGTCACTGTGCCCGGGGTTACCGGACGTGTAGCCGTATTCCCCTGTGTTTGCGTAAGGGGAGGGCGGCTAGGAAGAACAGATAAAGTTTGGACGACTTGGATGGTGGTAGTAGAGGTGGCAGTGGTACTTCCGCTGGGTATTACAACTGTTGGGACTCCTCCACCAGGTGCTGCTGTTCCACCCGGTGCTGCTACTGTTCCACCACCTGCTACTCCTCCACGCGGTGCTGTTCTTCCACCTGGCGCTGCTGCTGTACCACCTGCTGCTGGTACTCCGCCAGGTGCTGCTCCGCCAGGTAATGGTGTTCCACCTGGTGTTGCCGCTGTTCCGCCTGGTGTTGCTGCTGTTCCACCTGGTGTTGTTGCTGTTCCTGGTACTACTGTTCCAGCTGGTGGTGCCACTCCACCCGGTCCGCTCAGCGTGGCAAAGCTCGTAGCAATAGTAGGAGTTGAGACAGGCACACCTCCGCCTGGTGGTGCTGTTCCGCCTGGTCTGGTTGGTGTGGCAGAGATCGTAGCGCTAGTAGGAGTTGAGACAGGCACACCTCCGCCTGGTGGTGCTGTTCCGCCTGGTCTGGTTGGTGTGGCAGAGATCGTAGCGCTAGTAGGAGTTGAGACAGGCACACCTCCGCCTGGTGGTGCTGTTCCGCCTGGTCTGGTTGGTGTGGCAGAGATCGTAGCGCTAGTAGGAGTTGAGATGGGCACACCTCCGCCTGGTGGTGCTGTTCCGCCTGGTCTGGTTGGTGTGGCAGAGATCGTAGCGCTAGTAGGAGTTGAGATGGGCACACCTCCGCCTGGTGGTGCTGTTCCGCCTGGTCTGGTTGGTGTGGCAGAGATCGTAGCGCTAGTAGGAGTTGAGATGGGCACACCTCCGCCTGGTGGTGCTGTTCCGCCTGGTCTGGTTGGTGTGGCAGAGATCGTAGCGCTAGTAGGAGTTGAGACAGGCACACCTCCGCCTGGTGGTGCTGTTCCGCCTGGTCTGGTTGGTGTGGCAGAGATCGTAGCGCTAGTAGGAGTTGGGACGGACACGCCTCCCCCAACAGTATCAGTAACGTTAGAGATGCCAGGGCCTGTGGGTATGGCAGGGGTCAAGGTCACACTCGGCAACCCAGTTGGTCCGCCCCCGGCAGTGCGTGTGACGTTTGCGAAACTGGTTCCTGTAGTCACAGCAAGCCTGGAAGTTTGAACAGCACCCGATGTTGCGGCTCCACCCCCGTTAGTAGGCAGGAGAACAGTTGAAACAATGGCAGTTGAAACAATGGCAGTTGAAACAATGGTTTCTGTAGTCGTAGCTACAACGTGGGTTGAAGTAGTGTTGGGGAATCCAATTGGGCCTCCTCCAGGACCGTGCGGGATGTTAGGAACCCCCCCCGTAGCTGAAGTCACCGGCAGACTTGTTGCAGGTCCTGCGGCTGCGCCTCCACCTCCAGGACTCTGCAGTACACCGGGAGCCCCAGTAGCCGAAGTCACTAGCCGAGTAGTTGCAGGTCCTGCGGCTGCTGCGTCGCCTCCGCCTCCGGGACTTTGCGGTACACCGGGAACCCCAGTAGCCGAAGTTGCTGGCTGAGTTGAGGGTCCCGCAGTTGCGCTTGCGGCTCCGCCGGAAGCCTGAGGGGCACTCGAAATGTGTGTTCCCGTCGCGGTTAGACCTTGTGGAGCGCCTGGCCCTGCGGCTGTCGGAGCTAGGGCGCCAGGACCCGTTGCAGTGAATAGAGGTGAAATGGCGGGAACACCTGGAGATGCAGTGGGGCCACCCGCTCCTTGAGCACTCTGACCAGGGCAAACTGTCTCAGTAACGGTGACGGTGAAAGTAGTAGTACTTGTGCCAGGAGCAGGACAGGGTGCGCAGGTTGGTGCGGCAGGAGCGGGACATGGTGGACAGGCTTGCGTCACGACCTTAGGCGCAACTGGAGACTCGGATGGAGGCGCGGAGACTGTGACAGGGGTTGATGCACTGGCAGGCACACCACCCCCAGCAGGAGAGAATCCCGGTCCCTCAGAGGCAGGGACACCTCCACCGGTCGGGGGAGACACTGGGGGGCCAGTTGAAGCAATTCCTCCGGCCGGGGAGGTACCTGGGCGTGACTCAGTAGCACCTCCTCCTGTTGGCGCTGTAGTTGGGGGTGGCTGAGTAGCACCTCCAGGTGGTGTTGTTGTTGGGAGTGATCGAGTAGCTACTCCAGGTGGCGCTGTTGTTGGGAGTGATACAGTAGCAGCTCCTCCCGTTGGTGCTGTGGTTATGGGTGACTGAGTAGCTCCTCCTGTTAGCGCTGTAGTTGGGGGTGGCTGAGTAGCACCTCCAGGTGGTGCTGTTGTTGGGAGTGATCGAGTAGCTCCTCCAGGTGGTGCTGTTGTTGGGAGTGATACAGTAGCAGCTCCTCCCGTTGGGGCTGTGGTTACGGGTGACTGAGTAGCTCCTCCTGTTGGCGCTGTAGTTGGGGGTGGCTGAGTAGCACCTCCAGGTGGTGCTGTTGTTGGGAGTGATCGAGTAGCTCCTCCAGGTGGTGCTGTTGTTGGGAGTGATACAGTAGCAGCTCCTCCCGTTGGGGCTGTGGTTACGGGTGACTGAGTAGCACCTCCAGGTGGTGCTGTGGTTGGGAGTGATTCAGTAGCAGTTCCTCCAAATGATACAGTAACTGTATGTGTTGCAGGAGGAATTCCAGATGCCATAATCGCAGCTAGGGATGAAGACAAAGCTGCACTAGCTAGACCTGCCGATCTTAAGGCCTCCGGGGGCGGTAGCTGGCCCAGGCCGCCGGGTTTGGGAGCTGCTACCGCACCGTGGAGTAGCATCCATGCTGCTGCTGCGAGTGGCAGGGCCTGCCTCCTAGTGTGCATCTTGTTCACAGAGCAACCACAGTAGGAGATAAGGAGAGCAAGGAGAAAGAGACGGCTCAGGATTATGAGCAGCTATTCGATCAGCGAGTGGTTTGAAGAGACCGTGGAGGATCTAGGATAAGCATCAATTATGTACCCGACCTTGAGTTATGATGAGGTCTGTATGTCATCCAGCGAGCGTGCGGTATCGGGTCTCAGTGGAATGAGCACGCTGGCAAGCTTCCAGTTCTTGGATTCGGGACGTCCTATTGGAACTCGTCGGAGCATTGCAACCACGGTCACTCTAGCTGACCATCATCCTGACGCCCTTGCCTATATTCAACGATATATATCGAATTGAGCGGTAAATAAGGTGGATGCGCTTCCAGAATCGAACGTGGTCGTCTCAAGGTATTCTGGGGACACAAACATCCGTGATCGTCAGGGCAACCCATTTAAAGAAACATGATGAAGTCCGTCTCAAACAGCTTGATCATCCTTCGAACAACAGGTACACGGGCTTGACGTGATGTTCGGGCCGTTGGTATGTTTCCCTGGTTCAGTCGCATTATTTCCAGAACTGAACTGCACACTTCTGTCCGGAATAGCTTTCCGGCGTCACATCTGGATCATCTCATCATCATCTTGCACCAAGCTGCGAGTACCACGGCCAGTCGCGTAATTCAGAGAATAGCTATTCCCACGATTTCTTTTCTGCGGGTACTCGTGTGTACTTTTGTTGGTAGGTTGGCTTCCAGTCGTCCTTCCGTAACTCCCATCAATTTCCCTCTGCAATTGCTGCTGCATCTATCGGTATTTTGTCGTGTGTAAGCACGCCGGCAGACGTCTTAATAGGCATTCAATTGAGACCGGATTCAGTAGACAGCCCATGGTTGACGCCAGCCAACATGAATTAACTTCGCTGCAGTGACGCATGCGAGACCCAGGGCATAACAGCAAGTTGTAAAGACAATCAGACCCCAATACTCTCCATTGCAACGGCTGAGAATCTCGCCTGCAATTGGAATTCCGGTGAGAGTACTAATCCAAGGTCAGTCAGCCATCAAAGCGCCAGATGATACAATAAACAGGCACGGATGCAGTATGAACTCACCCGAAGCTTACGATGGTATATGCCGTGGCGTAGTATCTTCCGTAATTTTCGATTTTGCAGAGTTGTCCAACGCAGACTGGCGTAAGACTGATATTGCTGCCACTGGCGAACCCAAATATCACGCAGTAAACAATCATTAAAGGAACGTTGCCGCCAGCAGGAAGCCAGAGACACGCGTTGCACACGAGGCAGAGGGCCACTGTGACAATCAGCGTGTTGAAGCGACCAAGAAAATCTGCGATGAATCCTGGGATCGCTCTTCCTAAGACCGAGCCGACGTTGAGGAAAGCTACCATTTGGTATGACAGTTTTGTAGAGACCCCGTGGGCTAGAGCATATGAAGAGATATAGCTGATCGGAACAAAAAGGCCCCATTCAATGAAGAAGATGCCTGCTGTTGTGAAAGCGAACTTGGCATCTCGAAAAATCCGAAAATCCGGGAGGACATTCTCCTTGGAAGCCGGCTTCTTAGGCAGACGCGACTTCACCAGCAAGCAGGATCCGATTAACAAGATTAAACAAATCAAGGCAATAACACGGGTTGCCCATGCCCAGCCGATCTTGGGAAAGAGTGTCTCCAGGACCAGTGGGAAGACTATGCCCCCAACAGAGCCTCCAGTAGCAGCAAGACCAGTTGCAACGCCGCGTTTCTCGTTGAAGAAATGACCGACTGCGGATATCGCCGGCGTAAAAATGAGAGAGGCTCCCGTTCCTCCCGCGACTCCGATCACAAGCATGAAGTGCCAGTATTTAGTGCAGAACCCTAGGGCAATCATCATCACCATGACTAAAACAGAGCCGGCAAGAACAAGAAATCGAGGCCCTTTTGCATCGAAGACTGGGCCGATTTGAACTCCAAAAAAGAAGGTCAGGAACGAGTAAACGCCAAATATCCAGCCCACGTTGCCAGGGCTGTATTCTTTCAGCTGATGATCTTGAAGATACGCCTGAAATGTGCCGATAGTGTTGACCAGACCAAGGGACGCAAAAAGTCCCAAGAAACTTCCAAATACCACCAACCATGCCTCTAAACCGCCTTCTGGATATGTGTTTCCCTCGGCATCGGTTGTGACCCGACTCACGGGAATCCGATATTCCGAGGTATCTGAAGAGGTACCATTGATGCACTGTCCATAGCCTCCTTCTTCGAGCACTCTGTTTGTCTCGTGAGTCGAAGGTAGACCATCTTGCGAATTATGCTGCGTCGATGACTCAAGTTCTCCTGTCTCGCCCACTAAAGGATTTCCAGAAGCTGCATGAGGCGCGGCCGTTGATTGCTTATCTGAATATGAGAGTGGTGATGTTTCCTGAGAGACTGGCTGGCTCTCCTTAGGGGTGTGGTGATCTGTCTCGTCATCATTGGCGATGCCAGAGGTTTTGGTTTTTGTCAACATGTCAGTGTAGGTCTCAGGCCGAAGTGGACCACAGTTAACCTTGCCCTCCTTCCACTTTCTCCTCCTCTAAGATTTCACAGGCACACTACGTTCCTCCTCGTTTTCAAGAGATTTGTGGAAGAGAGGTGTATTTCGGTGCGGGAGAGCATAGAAGGAGATGGGCTTTCTATCCAGTTGGGATTCTGCAGCGGATGTAGGGATGCCTGATGGGAATACTCCCGACAAAAATCGAGATTGCAAAAGTTGGGGTCTGATCTGCTTAGCGTTTCAAGACTTATGCTCTAGCTTGGACTAAATCGTCAAGTGGAGGTTTCCGAAGAGTCGCTCACTTGCGGGAAGTCTCCTATTGGCGAAAACTTTGTGGCTCCAATTGGCCTCGATCCTTTGGCCATAGCGAAGACCTGCATAAGAGAAGAAGCTAGACGCAATCAGGAAGGTCAACTGAGAGCTTAGGAGCTTTGGCATGGCCGCATGAGTGGTTTGCTCACCAGGCGTGGATAGGTGAATCACCATCCATATGGGATTCATGGTTTTGCTGACAGCTCAGCAAAGGTGCAGGACTGATCAGTAGGGCAAAGCGATCTAAAGAAGTCATAGATAGAATATTGGACATGGAAACTGCGGGTAAAGGGAGTAGATGAGGCCACTATGTTGCAGTGATTGCTGGAGTTCTGTTACTTCTGCGTTGTATGCTGAATCTGTCGGAGACTGCCGAAATGTGGGACCTTCATTGTTAAACTCCGTAGGGCTGTCGCATACCTTATCAGCAGCATGAGGTCTCTCCAATTGTATTGATTTCTGATAAAGAGAGCATGGGATGGGTGGGAAAAGAACGAAAATAAATCACCGAGATGAACAAAAAACGATACCTTAAGGTAGATGGGAAAAAAATGGACTCGCGGGGAATCGAACCCCGGACCACCCCCATGCTAAGGGGGTATTATACCACTAAACCACAAGCCCAACTGATACAAGAAATTTGGAATTTTACAACTATGTTCAGATCAGACCTCCTGATCGGCTTCAATGCCAGAAGCATACATCTGCCACCTTGTATGGCCCGAGTAAATGTTCGGATCTGTCTCATCTCCACTTTTCGCGTCTACTGGGATGTTGGACCCGACAAAGCTAATCTTCACATAATTGGGCTCACTTCGCGCACTGGTTGTGGCTGTCATGCGGCTCATGCCTTGGGACTACTGCAAATTTAGGTATTCTTTTCTCCGACTCCAGTTAGGGATCTGGCTATGCAAGATGAGTTACTGCAAATGTTGGACAAAATGTGTTATCAAGTTGCCATGAAGTCCTCAAGTGGATGAGATACTGAAGCATATTTAGCAGTGTCATCATATTAGTCCACACAACTCGTAAGGCCTAGTTACTGCTTGAGTGTCATCTATCGGGCTTGTGGTTTAGTGGTATAATACCCCCTTAGCATGGGGGTGGTCCGGGGTTCGATTCCCCGCGAGTCCATTTTTTGCTCTGGTCAGACGCCTGAAGTCGCTGTTCTCTGCCAGGAGTCAGGTGTTTCTTTTTTTTTATGATTCAAGCATGACCAGAAACAGCGCCAAGAATGGACCCTCTGGAGCATCACCTCTCTTCGGAATTCAACAGGCTTGGCCGGGTGCATGTACATCCCGCTCATCCTAGGAGTCAGACAACTTTGGTTTAGAAGGTAATGCTCTCGCCAGCCGAGTATATCAGGCACAGTTTTGGTAGGTTACAAGGTTTCCGAAGATTAGTATGTCTGTTCTGATGGTCCTTCCTATAGTATTTTAAGCGATATATGAAAACACATCTCACATTAGCGCTAGCTTGGCTCTATATCCTGGTCATGGCTTTAAAGTGAGATCTGCCTAATATCAACGGATCTCATTTTATAATAAGGTACTAGCAGTGCTGGTGATGTGATTATTCGAGCAGGTCTGATCAAATTAATGACCATCTCCTGCAAGTGCTCAAATTATCCATTGGCCCTGGTCTTTATCACTCGGTAGTGATCAACAATCAACAACTGGAGCCTGAAGAGAGTCTCAACGCGACAGCAATACTGAGCTGTCCACTAGACTATCTTACATATCCTTCCAGCCTCCCACCTCGGTGCTACCATATACACATTCATCGATCCCGCAAAGTACAGCATTCGACTGGGTCAAAATCATCAATTACTGGTGGATTATATTCCTGTGCTGCTAATTCATCTTCATCCATCTCCTCTGGAACCCGGTCCCGTTCGTCAAATCACAAACCGAGTTCATATAACACGGCCCATAGGTGAAGCATGTAGGACTGACTGCAATGCCTCCTCGTGATTCTGCATACTTTGGTTATCGGGATAAGTGCCTTGTTCTTACTGGCATGTAGTGATCACCCACTGCTTGGATGCTGCTAGATGACGGGTATATTATTTATCATTGTTCAGAGTTGCAGTTCTTGCGGGTTTAAGTCTTGAGAACAGAGATGTGCTTCGCGCTATGAAGTATCAATCATCTATACGGATCGAGGGATCGGAGGCTTGCGTGTAACGGCTACTTGCTTTACCGATAGCTAACAGCTATTCAGCGAGGCAGAGCAGCTAGCCAGTGTACAGGCTAGAAATGCTCTCTCGGTAGTGCTGGATCTGTTATCCAGACGCGCAACGACTTCTCATTTGCAGGTTTATAACCCGGTCTTAGGACGGTTAATCGTCAGGAGAATCCTGGTGATTATGTTACCAGTGAGTTACCATATGATGTACGCAACCCGTGGTAATGGGGAGGGTCCCAGCAGACGGGGAATGGGATGCTATATAAACATTGGAGCATCGGAAATCTCATAACCACTCGGTTGTTCAGTCAGTGGCACCCGTTCCATGATGTATATCGATCGGGTCAAGCCTCATAATACAATTCTGACCATGTGATAATTGCAACGAAACACCACACGATCCAATACTATTGGACACAAGCAAGCTTCTATCTGAATCAGCCCAGGGTTCGGACGAGAATAATCAAACTTCCTGGATTGGTTGCTAGTAACATTGATCTTTTAGGGTATGGGTTACCATTGACCTCTCACGGTAACGGGACGGACAATGGGTCATGGGATGGTTCCTCCACACCGGATGCAACTCAAATAGTGTCGTCTAACGGGCAATAATGCGGCAGACTTGGAGGTCATATCAGTACCCTCAGTCATTCTGGCCTGGTATAGGCCAGTACTCGGCCTGGAGCAAAAAAACTGGACTCGCGGGGAATCGAACCCCGGACCACCCCCATGCTAAGGGGGTATTATACCACTAAACCACAAGCCCATTTTGTTGACACTCGAAAAAATCTTTGCTCTTCTAAAGCATGACATATTGAAATCCTGCCTGAAGTACGGAGTTCTTGCTACGGAGTATAGCTATGAGTGTCACAGCGGGGCATACTCTTGCTCTGGCCTAGTATTAATGCTGTTAGTCAGTCGACTGACTAGAGCTAGTCTCCGGGTGATGTTCACGTTCATGGTGTATGGGTTCTGATCTCCCTACGTGATGGGTGACATTTGTATTTATATTTTACCAACGCGGGCTAGTCCATGCTATACCGGTCAAAAACTCCACCAACTAGAACAATAACAGGCACTGCAGACGGGTATATCACAGACATAATTAACGAAAAGAGAGCTATATAAACCTGGTGCATGAAGCTGGACTGTGACAATAAAGGATATATAGTTGCCAGATCAGAGATGAGACAGCATGGAAGCACCTGCGACACTGGGGATAAGGTCAGGCAGGCTAGTGCATCGAAAACATATGGATGATTGTCCCACGCAGAATTCACAGTTGTATTTGACTCGGCACAGTGCAATAGATACTGTGTATACTTCCTCAATGAGTGACGGGCCTAGAGACCATTGCCCACCGAGATTCAGTAACCAGGACTGTCCTACATGGATATCGAGCAAGCACTGCCATTTTTCATGACGCGTGGTATTCGACCATAAACATGTTAGCCCTACTCAAAGGCTACCATGGCACTCCTAGTGACGGCCATGGCCACGCGGGAGGTAGGATTACCTTAAGCACACAATACCACACATAGCAGGGGAGAAATAGAGAAAGTGGCCATCTGCAAAGCTGTAGGGAATGTGAGAGTTAAAGGTAGTGAATAGGTAGCTTTGGACAATACCATTATCAGGTTTGCTCCAATGCTGGCTGCAACGGCGCAGGAATGATGAAGATCCTACTAAAGAAATAGTTCATTGACATTTCGATGCCTTGGGATATCCCTTCAGCATTTGTTTTGTCATATATAGTCAAAAGTGGACGGACTTATCAACAAGTCGGGCTTGTGGTTTAGTGGTATAATACCCCCTTAGCATGGGGGTGGTCCGGGGTTCGATTCCCCGCGAGTCCAACTTTTTATGTTTTTCTCCTTCGTATTTTTTGGCCCACATCGGATCTATCGGGCAGGGTGCATGTGTGGGAAGCAGTCAAAGCATCTAATGGTACGGTAGTTAATGACTGCCACTATCTCGTCCTAAACAGGCAGGTGACTATCATAACCCAATTCAAACTTAAAAGAAGCAATCATTCAGTCCATTTCCAAAGTACCACGGTAGACATCTAATCGTCAAGCTTCGTATTAGCAGACGGAATTACGCCACACAGGTCATTTAATCATGTGCAGTGCAATCTAATTTGTCTCTTATCGGAAAATCCCTGCCTTCAGGGTTACATCGGCCCACGACATTAGTGAACTCGGTGGTGAAGACCAGAGAGGCGGTCAGATTACTGTTCTGAGCGATGAAAGTCTCTCCTATCTACCGGCTGTTGGGATTGTTCAACGTGAAGAAGTTGTTTATTGGCAGACTGTCTGTATTGATATAGCCATTATAGCAGTGCAAGAAAATGTGCATACGGAGGAGTCCGAATGCAAGGTATCAGGTGCCTAGGCATCCTACATGTCACGGGATTCCTCCGCCCGAGAAAGCTTAGCCTTCCAAGTAAGCTCAACACTAGGTATTCTCTCCAAGTCTCGAAGAAATTGATGACGCTCTCTCTTGCTTATGCAGATCCCCAAGACAAGATCCATCTCCGTCGGAGGGTTCAGTAACACGAGCTCATCATTCAAATTATTGGCGATAGACCAGATAGCTATCATCATCGCCGTCATCACTATTACCCTCACCAAATTGATAAGGGACGAAACAGGAAAAGCGATTCATGGTGAGGAGGTTGCTCTCCAGTGGGCCCGCAGCTGGCTGGATCAAAAGCACCCCAGCGAATTCATCGGCGTATCTATTTAGGTGCATATCAGGGGCTGATCCAGTGCTATCCTGGTACTAGTCCAGTGGCTGCTTTGGGATCCTATGATTATCAAATAGATAGGTGTTAGTCATTAATCATGCACTCCAAGCGAAGTCCGTATCTTCCGAGATGCGTCTCCACACGAGGCTTGAGCTTGGACGCATTCAAGCTCTTCCCCGACAGCAAGCGTTGGCTTCCCCTCTTCTGCCAAATGAACAAAGACCGTGATTGGTTACCTCTCGAGTCTTGAATATGATTGTTGGTTGATAATCGCGCATCCATGTCCTAACGTTCCATCCCCGTCGGCCTACACGTCCTCACCAATCCGAGAGAGGGTTCCTGTTCAAGCCTGAGTTCTGCAGCATTCGATTGTTCTCTGAACTTTCCATGTCTCCCGTCTCCTGGTGATAGGCTAAAAGCACCTTGTGCTTGCCCGCTGTCGAAATTAGCGTGGCAGACATGGCTATCGTCATATAAATGCAGCCAGTCCTCCTCGGTGAAATTGGGACTGATCTTCATCCGTACCTGCAAGCCTCAGTTTCCCTTCTTTGATTTCCCCTTTGCTTTACCCGGTCGAGATGTTGTTCGGCTCGGTGGCTTCGACTGCCCTCCTGGCGCTCTCTTTGTGCGTGGACAGCGCGTCTGCTGCAAAACATGGACGGTTCGGTCAGAGGGCTCGTGACTCGTTGACCAAACGAAGCTCGTCATCGTTGGTTACCCATGAGTCAGAGACGCGCTCAAGCCACAAGGACTTCCGGTTCCTGAACAAGGATACGAAACGTATGTATTTTGTGTTACCTGCGTTGGAATTGATGATCGTCTAATCTAAATACTGCCGCAGCCTACCTCGTGAAGAGTCTGCCCGATGTAAAGTTCGACATTGGTGAGATGTACTCTGGCTCAGTCCCTATCCACAAGGGCAACAAATCCAGAGAACTTTTCTTCATCTTCCAGCCCACCATCGGTGAACCTGTGGACGAAGTTACTATCTGGCTCAACGGAGGGCCAGGTTGCAGCTCCTTGGAAGGATTCTTCCAGGAGAACGGCAGATTCACCTGGCAGCCGGGAACATTAGCCCCAGTTGAGAATCCTTACTCATGGGTCAACCTGACTAACATGTTGTGGTATGTGTCTCTTTTCTATACCGTTATTCAAGAGATTACAAGTCCGGTTTCTGATGCGCATCGACTGTGACAGGGTCGATCAGCCTGTCGGCACGGGCTTCGCCACCGGCAAGCCGACTGCAACGTCGCAGGAGGAGACCGCGGAAGACTTTATCAAGTTCTTCAAGAACTTCCAGGAGATTTTTGGTATCAAGAACTATAAGATCTATGTCACTGGAGAGAGTTACGCGGGCCGCTATGTTCCTTATATCTCTGCCGCAATGCTGGACCAGAATGACACGGAATATTATGACCTGAAAGGTGAGCTTTATCTTAGCAGGTATTGCTGCTCACATGCTGACCATATTTGCTCAATACAGGTGCCCTCGTTTATGATCCATGCATCGGCCAGTTCGACTATGTGCAAGAAGAAGTGCCTGCAGTGCCCTTCGTTCAGCAGAACGCCAACCTCTTCAACTTCAATGCAAGCTTCATGGCGGAGCTGGAAAGGCTCCACAAATCCTGCGGCTACCAGGATTTCATCGATGAATACCTAGTGTTCCCTCCCTCAGGTGTCCAGCCTCCCAAGATGTTCAACTACACGAGTGATGCGGAGTGCGACGTTTTTGATATGATCAACACCGCCGCCATGGCTGTCAACCCCTGCTTCGACATCTACGAGATCAACCTGATGTGCCCTCTCGCATGGGACGTTCTTGCCTTCCCCACCGCACTCGTCTACCAGCCCGCCGGCGCCACGGTCTACTTTGATCGCGAAGACGTCAAGCGTGCCTTGCACGCTCCGAGCATCAAGTGGGCCGAGTGCGCGGACGAGGCCGTCTTTGTGGGTGGCTCTGGTGGCCCCGAGCAAGAGGGTGACTTCTCCGCAAACCCCATCGAGCATGTCCTCCCGCAGGTGATTGAGGCGACAAACCGTGTGCTTGTCAGCAACGGAGACTATGACATGATCATTCTCACCAACGGTACCTTGCTCTCAATCCAGAACATGACCTGGCATGGCCAGCTGGGCTTCCAGTCGGCTCCCAGCACCCCAATCGCGATCAGTCTGTCCGACTTGCAGTACGCTGACGTCTACGCTGAGAACAAAATGACTGGAGTGGACGGTGCTCAGGGTGTCATGGGTGTCCAGCACTACGAGCGCGGATTGATGTGGGCGGAGACCTACCAGAGCGGGCACATGCAGCCCCAGTACCAGCCACGGGTGACGTACCGTCACCTGCAGTGGTTGCTGGGCCACATTGAGTCTCTGTGATTGCTGTCTATATGTGTGTATGATGAAGAATACATAAGGGAGATGGCTTCGGTTATTTTGACGATGTAAATAGCAGTGATTGTTCGAATGCCGCGCTATACTCTGCGAGGAAAATCTGTCCTGAGATTTGAATTATTCCAGGAACTCATTCCCTGATTGGGTTTAATCATTCAACCAGTTTTAGCTTTCGCTCGATCGATATCAAATTTTTACCCGTCCGGGTAATATATGTTGACTGACAGGGGTCCTCAACAATGTAGCCGTCGGCCGTTCCTTCGAGAGTGAGAGAGTCTACTTGCCAAGGAAAGTATTTTTTTTCGCAGTAGAGAACAATTTACAGTACATGATAAGAGCAAGACCGCTCCGTGAAGTATAAAGGGAGTGCAATGCGCGCATCTATATCTGCGAAGATGAAATGGAGAAGAGTATGCGCCTATAGTGTTACCGAAAGCTACGCACCATTCACGTCCTTCCTCCATTGTCCACAGATGTGATCATGATCAATGGATGAGGCCTACTCCTACAAAGCTTCAAAGCAGAAGTCAATAAGATATGTGCACCTTCTTTGGTGTGTATGCATGACTCGTGAGATACGATAGCCGAGGTAGACTTGCAGTAGGCTGGAAAACAACCACTCACATATCATTTACTGAACATGGGATCCCCAGTCGTGTGGTAGATCCTTTCTACCTACGCAAGGAGCCTATTCGGGAAACAAGGTACGTGATCCCTAACTATAGATTCTAGGTTGAGCCTAGTGTTTAGTGCTGATAGATTAGCCCACGCGATTCATTAGGAGGGAGTCTCCGTAATTGTAGGCGAAGTGTAGCATTAATTATCCCACAGTAGTTCTTGCTAGTCAGAAAGCAGACTGGCGATCCAATTGACGGCCTGTTAGGCCGTTACTGAGGAGATTACATAGGGAAGACTTGCAAATTGAATTTCCGAGCTGAGAGCAAAAGTAAGACACCGTCGCACTCGAGACCGACAGCCTCGGGTCCCGAGGAAGAAGTAAAAAAGAAAAAAGAGCGAAAAAAGAGACAAGAGCAAGAGCTTATTGGTAGTAACTGGACAAGGTGATATTGGCGATTTGGATGCTAGTAAGACGGTTGCGGCAATGAATGGATTGATTTGCATTTGCCCCAGCAGCCGCCAAGCTCCTTGAGACGATCGATACCGCATACGGGCAGAATTTCCTTGGACGCTCCCTTGGTCTATCGAACCGACCAATGGGCTACAGGGATGCGTATTGTTGGGAATAATGTGAACGACATTCGTGCTGCACATTGGATCTTCAGGCTATTTGGAATCTAACCATTTCAGTCGCATTGAAGCAATGATAAAGTCCAGAGAGTATCTTACCTATCACCATATCCCCGTTGTATCGTAAGTGAGTTAAAGGTCGGCTAGGGAGTACACTACCGTACCACCCTGGTAATAACTGCGGTTTGATCTGGTACCGTATCGATTTCCTACCTTCCCATAGAGTGGGGCTGCGGCAGACCTTGTCCTAGGCGAGATTAGCGCGGAAAAGAGAGTTGCCGATGACGTAGATTATCTACAAAGACTTCAGTACGTGGACTTCAACGATCAGTACCAGGACTTTTTGCGCGATCCATGGCCGTGGACAAACCTAATACACTGAACTCTGGCTCAGATGGAATGAATGATTGAAAAGATTGGTATAGAATGGCAAAAGGAAAGACAAAAGAATGCAGAAAGTAAAAGCAATAAGAACAAGGCACAAAACTGCCAACAACAAAGTACTGCAAAAATTTTTTTGACAGTGGGCTAACTGGTTGGGGGGGGGGAGGGGGGGGTCAGAGCTGGTTACTTTGATATCAACTATGTACCTGTGGCCTCGAGTCAGTGCCACTCCAGAGAGGACCGGCTTTATTATACTCTCACTACACTTCTCCACGGACAAATGAGCACTCGACGGCTCGGGATCGGGAAAGGGGACTTCGTGTCACCCATTTTTCTTCCTTACTTGACATGCAATCATTGAACATCTGTGTGTGTATGCTCTGTTAACTAACCCTGCAGGAAAAGATGACTTGCGTGCTTATCAGCCTGCTCCAATGTACTCCGTAAGTCACTGGGATGTGATTTGGGACTTCAGGACTCAAGAGGTTGTTACCTGTTTGTCACCAATGGGATCAGACTAGTCCACTAAAGGATTAGTTGAAACTTGCAGTCAGCAGCCCGAGGCAAGCCACTCCTTTCACCCAGACCGTCGACTCCACCGCTTTCCACACCCGGTTAAGGAAAAGAAAAAAAGAACCCGCTGCCCCACTCCCTCGGTAAAACGCAGCCACTGAGAGCTTGGACACTGTCGCTTTTGGCTGGTGCGTTATACAGTATCTTACCTACAGAGCTCTACCTGGGTAAGGAGATTGATCTCAGTTTACTCCTGAGTGTGGACATATATATCCAGCTGTCTATCTTTCTCTGATTGATTGAATTTTTGTTTGGCTATAGGGTTGATAGTCTGAATGTGGGTAGTATACTTCGGAAAAACGCTTCTCATATACCTAAAGTATCTTGGCCATGGTACGATGTATGATACCTGAAGGTAATAATACGAGGTTAAACCGCGTTAGGTAATAATCTAACCACGTTCAGACCCATCGGCCCCATAGTAGATGCCTCCCGTCTCTCTGCTGCAACCTACCAGAGCACAGCCTGGCGAAACGCTCAATCAAAATGCATCCTGCTCATCATTATGGGTGCATTTTGTTTCTTCTGATTGGATTGTTGGATTCGAGTCCGTCGGTTTTATCCCCTTGAGGCTTTGTTTCCCCGAATTTCCTGGATTGTCCGATTTACCAGCAGACATCCTCCAGTTGCCTCCATTGGAATCCCCCGTATATAGATGCGGTTGCCCACCAATTTGCGACAATATTGTTTCTCTCTCTCCAACTTCTGCAGTCTTCTTCCCTCCTTTCGCCCTCCCCTCATTCCTCTACCTTGTCACGAGCAATCAAGGTGACAGCTGATTCTTTGCAGCTTCTCTCGGTTGACTTTTGCCCAGCTCACTTATCCACCCCACATTTCCTTAGGACTGTGGTTGTGTTACATTTACAAGCTGTTAAATCCCACTCTGTTGGACGGTCTTCTCTAAGATTGTCGAGTCTCAGTTTTACTCTTGGTTTATATATCGCTCCTCACATCCTATTGCGAATTCTTACGCCTGTGACAAACAGCATACTGGCCTTTCAGCTGTACGGCGTAGGATCAGCAGCGACAGCAGCAACAACCCACGAAATCTCGCCCATACGCCCTCAGCGCCGTTTTCGGTCGAGAATCACGTATCATTGTCCCTTGCGACAGGCCTCTGAGGATTTACTCCCGAAGTAAAGCCCGTGGACGAATATCCTGGTGTTCGACAGCCATTGCGCCTCTTTCTGGCCCTGAGCGACAAACCGCCCTTATTGACCTTGCCCGTTCACCGAACGGAACCGTGACCGGTCGCCTTCCCAATTGCGCCAATAACGAAAGTCGAAGAGACAGTAGATCTAGGCCTGAAGGACGGAAATTCGACCTCGAACCGGACCATTTCCTGCACACGCCAATCCCAATCGTCCCATAGTAGCATCGCCAGACCCATCCGCCATCATGCCATTTTTCAACCCGTTCCGAAAACACGACCAAACAACCTTCCATGGTGTCGTCATTCCTCTTAGCAGCGCCCCATCGCATGCACGCCCAGAAAGCCCAGCCCTGGAAAAGAAGGGAAGTCCAAATGTGAAACCTGATGATTCCAGCCTGGACAAGGCTCCATCGCAGGAGAACGGCTCTGCCGCTTCCATCCCCGAGCGCAGCCATCTGACTATTGAATCTCTTCGTGCGGAGATCGAGTCTGATGTTGCTGCTTCGGGGCATGATACCGCTTATGACCGTATGTTCTTGTTGTCCGCGACTATTGAGACTTGGATGCTTCTGTTTGCTCGTTCCTCGGCATTTACCTTCACAACGAGTCTACCCTTTCTGGTTTAGGAATGTTCGATCTAATGTTGGCGTGTTATAGGCAAGTCAAAGGTGATTAACCGAGCAATCCAGGATATCGGCATGGGCCGTTACCAATGGGAATTGTTCTGTCTTTGTGGGTTCGGTTGGTTGGCAGACAAGTAAGTTAGATGCTCTCTTTTCTTAGTTTGACATTCGTCGCTAATCGGTCTCACAGCCTTTGGCTACAGGTAAGAACATTATCAATGCGGTGTATAAAACCCAGACACTAATCGGATCAGGGAGTTGCCCTTACATTGACACCGGTCGCCTCTGAATTCGGCATTTCTTCCACTCGGGTTCGTTTCACAACCTGCGCCTTGTTCGTAGGGCTTTGCCTGGGTGCATCCTTCTGGGGTGTCGCATCAGATATCGTCGGACGTCGACCGGCCTTCAACCTGACCCTCCTTATTTGTGGTGCTTTTGGTTTGGCCGCCGGTGGTGGTCCCACATGGATTGGGTATGTTCATTCGATACTTTCTGTCCGCAGTCGAGGTCGGAGCTTGCGGCTAATATACCTCGAATCCAGTGTCTGTGCTTTGTTCGCCTGCCTGGGCCTCGGTGTCGGCGGTAATCTGCCTGTTGATGGAGCTCTTTTCTTGGAGTTCCTGCCTTTTGCTTCCGGAAATCTCTTGACCATGCTGAGTGTATGGTGGCCTGTTGGTCAACTTATCGCTAGGTTGGTGCCGATCGAACCGTCGAGCTATGTGAATTCAAATCATCTAACAACCTGCTAGTCTTATTGCCTGGGGCTTCATTCCCACTTATAGCTGCGCGGATGACCTGCCCTCCTGCAACGCAGTCGGTGACGGAGTCGCCTGCTGCGGAAAGGAGAACAATATGGGCTGGAGATACTTCGTGCTCACTATGGGCTCCTTGACCATTGCCATGTTCATCTGCCGCTTCTTTCTGTTCCATCTCTACGAGTCTCCCAAGTTCTTGCTCGCCCGTGGTCGCCAGGATGAAGCCGTTGCTGCAGTCCACGGGATTGC